GTAGTGGTCAGTTTAAATATAGAACTACAAGAGAATGACCTCTTCACCATCACATCTTCAAATTCCAGTTAATGATATTAATGATGAGGAGGAGAATAGTGATCGAGAAGCATCTGAGGAACAAGAACAAGCTGTAGATGTAGTTGAAGAAGGTGAAGAAAGAACAGGGTTATTGAATGGCGTTTTAACTGAAGAAGAAAAAGGAAGGACGGCAACTGAAGTAAGTTTATATGTTCATTTGAGTTTATATTTTTACAAAAACCTTTTTCTTAAAATAATATTTACTTAGGCATATCGAATATTAGTTTTAAGAATACTTCTGATTATGTTATTAATATTAATGTTAGTTGGAACAATTATATTAACAATATTTCCACCAAGAACACATGATAAAATAGGATCGTTATATTCAAATGGAACCCATGAATTTCATAACACAGTTATATTAGTATCATTTGACGGATTTAGATCAGATTATTTAGATAGAAATTTTACTCCAACCATTCAGAAATTTAGTAAGATTTTTTTTTTTTAATTGATTTTTAATTTTTTTAAGTTTTTTAATTTAATTTAATAATATCTTTAGTTCAGAAAGGATTAAAAGCCGAATATCTTGTGCCATCTTTTCCGGTGCGTACACTTATTCAAAAAAAAATTTTTTTTTTTAATTATAGATTCTTTAATAATAACGGGGGGTTTTATTTTTCTCAATGGAGATAGTCGGTAACTTTTCCTAACCATTATTCAATCGTGACAGGATTATATCCAGAATCACATGGAATAGTAGCAAATGAATTTTATGATCCAATATTAAAAGATGATTTTTTTTATATAAATCCAAATAAGAGTTTAGATTCAAAATGGTGGAAAGGAGAACCAATATGGGTGACAACCGTTAAACAAAATCAAAAATCGGGAGTATCAATGTGGGTTGGATCATCATCAGTTATCGATGGACATGTTCCAACATATTTCCATGAATATAATGCTAGTCGTAGTATGCATGAAAGAATAGAGCATATCATCAATTGGTTAGATATGGAATTAGAGGATAGGCCAACATTCCTGGCTGGATATGTTAGTGTAGTTGATTCTATGGGACATAAATTTGGACCCGATTCTCAGGAAGTTAATAAAGCTCTTGAAGCTGTCGATGATTATGTTAAAATATTATTAAATAAAATTGAGGAAAGAAATTTAACTGACATTGTCAACATAATCTTTGTAAGTATATATTAAAAAATTATTATTTTTTTTTTTTATTTCTGAAGAAAAAACAAATATATATATTTTTTTCCTTTTAATTTAATAGGTTAGTGACCATGGAATGGCACAAACAATACCATCAAATATAATTTTTTTAGATAATGTGTTTAATATATCAAAAATACACCCATTAGAAGGCTTTCCGATAGGTGGGATACGTCCATATAATGATTCTGATATAAATGAAATCTTTGATTTACTTCAAAATGCGAGTGAAAGTCAACCATGGACATGTTATTTAAGAGAAAACATTCCAGAAAGGTTTCATTATAGAAATTCAGTTAGAATCGCTCCCATTATTTGTATACCACCTGTTGGTTGGGTATTAACTAATCATAGAGATTTTAATGAGAAATTGCCACGAGGTGCGCATGGTTATGATAATCAAGATCCTACCATGAGGGGCATATTTTTAGCTAATGGTCCATATTTCAAAGATAAGAAAGGGGGAGACGATGGAAGAGTTGTCAATCCGTTTATTAACGTTGAAATTTATAACACTATGTGTAAAATTTTGGGATTAAAACCTGCTCCTAATAATGGAACAGTTGATGGAATTATATAAAATAAATAATTTAATTTTGAAATATAGTGGCAGGTATATTTTAAGGTTGTTAAACGTGCTGATCGGTGCGGCACAAGTCACGTGTGTAGGTTTCGGTGGTTCCTCAAAAAATCGGATACTTGGATGTACAAATAGCCACAAAAACATAACAATCAAATTCACAATAACCCCTTTTTTTTATTGTTTAATCCGATCATGACCAATTATAGTAACAATTTTTTAATAAAAGTATGAGAAAAAAAAACATTCGTGTGAAAAATTTATGTACAAAAATACAAAAATGAATAAATAAATCGGCCGATCCAAAAAGCGTTAAACACCACCACAAGAACGAGTAACATCTCTTAAACCAATTCCATTATTTTGTTTTTTCCATTCACCTCTCAACCTTTCAATATTATCATTTGAATACAAAGAAAAATCGGATTGATTTATTGATCCTTGTTGAACTTTATTAAAATTATAAAGTAGTGCTCCTCCTGTTGGTATCGCTAACCTAAAATGAAATTGTGAATTTTTTTTTCTTAGAAAAAAAAAAAAGGATAAAATCATCACCATATTACATACCACATTACAGTAGCACTTTTTGGACCAAAACGCGAAATTATACTTGATACATTCATTTTTTTTTTTTTTTTTTTTTTTTTAGAAAAAAAGTTTTTTTTTTTGGGAAAAAAAAAAAAAGGAAAAAGGAAAAAAAAGGAGGGTTAAATATAATTTTCTGCTCTAAAAGAGTTATGTTACACGTTACATATTGGGATAAGTAATTATAACAATCAAAATAAGAACAACCAAAGAAATTTTCTCACGTCTGCTTTCTATGACGAAAAAGCAGTGACAAATATGAATTCACCCAAACTAAAAAAAAAAAAGTTGTCGAGATACATTATAAAATATCACGACTCAGGTGACAATACATGTAAACGTTACACTGATCATGCAATGTTGGGAAGTACAAAGGTTATTTTAATAAACATAAAAATTGTGCGATCGCTAAAAGGGATGTTTATTTAGTTGGACTAGAAGCTAGAAAATCGGATGATTCTCGAGTGAGACATAATGGCTAATTTTGTAAAATAAGGTAACTAATTTTTGATAATTATTTAATGATGAACAATGATTTTGGATAATATTTGATGAAGACATTTTTATATGTCTTAGTCTTTTGATTGAAAATCATAATAAAGATTGTGTAATTACTTTTCAATATATATAATAATATTTATATAATAATAAAATCGTTACATTATTTTGCATTGAATATAAAGAAAAGATTACTGAATATATTAAAGTCTTATATGTAAAATATATATATATATTAATTTTACATCTCAATTACAATTAAAAGAAAAAGTTAAGTAATGGTTAACAAAATTATAGGCCTTTATAATTCTATTTAAGAGAGAAATAATATTATTTTTTTAATTAAAAATTTGAAAATTTAAATTTAATTAATAAGTATTTTTTGAGAGAGTGGTTTATTTTATAAAAATATATTAAAAGGTTAATATTGATTAGTCTAAAATAATAGTTATTATTTTTCTTTTAGTTAAGATCTTATTAAATATTTCTCTTTTTTGATGATTATTAATTTGAACTAATAATAATTATGAAAATTATTACTAATTTTATCAAAATACTTTATAACATATAAATAAATTTTATATTAAGTTATAAATTTATATGATAAATAATTAAAAATTATTAATCAAAATAAAATGATTACTTATTAAATTTTATAAAATTTTTATATAAAATATATATAGAAAATAATATGTTTTATATTTATATAATAATATAAATAATAGTTAATCTTTATTAAAATTTTTTTTTATTAATCTACTTAATCAATCACAATTATTATATAAAATTAGTTTAAGAACCAAAATTAAATAAAATTTTAAGATTTTTTCTTTTTTACTAACATTCTTATATATCAAAAATATATATTATTATAAATAAAATAAAAAAATAAAAAATTTTATTTAGATTATATAAATTTATAAATAAATTAGATTATTTATTTTTAAAAATTTTCTTTTTGATTTACTTTAAAAAAAATTTTTTTTATAAATATAAAAATTTTAAATTAATATTAAATTTAAACTTATTTTACTAAAAAATAATTTTAGCTTATAAAAAAAAAAAATTTTTTGTTTATAATTTTTTTCATTTTATTATAAAAATTTATATATATTATATTATAATATTTTTTATTTTTTAATTATATAATATAAAATTTAAATTATAAACTAAAAATTTTTATATTAAAATTTTTTATTAATCTTTATTAACTTTTATTAAATAAATTTTAAACTTATTAATAAGCTTATTAAATCATATTTTTATATAATTATTATAACTAAAATTAAAATTTTAAATTTATTAAAAATGAATATTTTTTAAGATTTGTAAGTAAATTTATTTACTTTAAAATTTAAGGAATAATAAATTACTAAAATATATTATTAATAAAATTATATATAATTTTATATTAAAATTTATTATTAAAAATTTTATAAAATATATTATACATATTTATCCTAATTATTTTAATTAATTGTTAAATATATTTATTATTATTATGATTTTTTTTTAAAAAAAAAAATATATACAATTTATTATAATAATATATAATAATATTTAAAAAATTTTTTATTAATTAATAAATAAATTATAAATATGGTCTGGTGCAAAAAGGTTGATACACTAATATATCTATAATAAAAAAATTTTTTTTAAAATTTAATATAAATATTTAAATTTATTTATTAATACTTTAAGTTTTAAGATATATTTCAATATAAATTTTATTAAAGTTTTGAAGATATACAAAAAATTTTACTAATCATTAACTTCTTCAATTTTGAAATCTTCATAATCACTTTCAACTAATAAAATGTCATCACTTAAATCTTTATATTTTATGGCCTTATTAAGACATTTTTTCTAAAACCCAACAATAACTTTAGAATTAACATTATCTTTAAATGCTTGCAATAATTTATCTCTAATAGTAAGAAGATTAGGATGATGATCAGTTCTAACAATCACACCTTTTACAATTGACCAAATTCCCTCAATTGGTTGAAATTCACAATGGTAAG